AGAGCTCTAAGAAGAGTATTCCCAGACCACTGGACCTGCTGCAAGTCCAAGCCCTCTAGCCATCCTCAAGACAAGCAACCTATGTGTAGGAGGAGTTGACCACTCTTATCAATATTAATACTAACCATGGGCCAATAGCTAAAGATGGGGAGGTAAGTCCAAGAGCCCCAGGAATAGCATCCTCTACTGAGGTGGGGAACCTGTGGGCTCAAGGCCACATGTGGCCTTCTAGGCCCTCGGATATGGCATTTTGACTGAGTCCAAGTTTTACAGAATAAATCCTTTTATTAAGGGGACTTGTTCTCTGAAGTTTGGATTCAGTCAAAGGGCCACACCCAAGCACCTAGAGGGACACATGTGGCCTCAAGGTTGCAGGTTCTGCACCCCTGTGCCTAGAAGACTATAGGTCTTGCTCGCAGCCCGGTACCTATTGCCATTATCCAGGTAAACAACCTTTGTGGAAATGTGACCTGGTAACTGCTCCTGAAGGTGCTGCAGCTTCAGTTACCTGAGCAGTTATAAAGAAAGTTCTTGTCACCAAAGTCCTTTGCACTACCAAATAGTTCAACATCAGAAATAAACATGATATTATCAATGGAAATTACATTTAAAAAGGTACTTTGTTTTCTGCTTTAACATCATAACTTAAGGATCACTGAGCCTTTCCTTCTGACTTGTAGCTGAAATCTCTTCCTATGTATGTTGTTCATTAAGTTAATTAATGAGTTAAAGATTTGATACTTTCGTCAATCTGGTTCATACTTCCAAGTTTTTAAGGCTAGTTGTGTCAGATACTCCTGGAGAAAGGCTTGCCCTTCCAGTTTGATGGATAAGGATTAGAATTTCCAAAAAAATCCAAATAATTTTCCTCTTGTTGACTATGACAGAAAAAGTACCTTTTGGAGTCATAAGACCTGGCTTCTAATCTCAGACTTTGCTACTTACTATCTACTACTTTGCTACTTACTACACTAAGGAGTGTAACCTTGAATGAGTCCTTTAATTCTGGGCTTCAATTTCCTCAACTATCAAATGAGGTCATTAAAACAGGTGGTTTTTTTCTCTTCCAACTCTAAAGCCTATGGTGTCAGTTTGAATATTCTAGAGGCCGGACAGTAATTACTTAGGAGTGTTAATCTGGGGAAACAGACCTAGAGCTTCCCTGGATTAAGTGGAACTTTGGGGAAGGTGCCCATAATAGCTTAGAAGAGCTAAAGTACACAAACATATTTATGAGATAGGTCTTCTTTAGAAGTTTTTGGTAGTTCTAATTTGTTCTCAGTGCCACTGTGAAACCACAGAGAACATTTCTGTGACTTCTCTCCTCTCTTCCTATTCCTATTCTTAGTTTTCTTTGTTAGACCATCAACAATCTCCCACTCCTTAGCAAGGTACCTCCCAAAACTCTGTCCCTGATTATCTCTTTCTATACTCTCCCTTGATGATGTCACCTAATTCTACAGGTTCAATTAACATCTATGCAGATTACTTCACAATCTATACATACAACCAGTCCTAATTTCTCTCTTATATACCAGTCCCATATCTCCCTGTCCCCTACCTTCAACTAAGCATGTCTTAAAGTGAACTCATCTGTGTCCAGAAAACTGTTTAAGTTTCCCTATTTCTGCTTTGTGCACCACAATCTTCCCAGATTTGTAACCTTGAAAGATATGCTTCACTCTTCCCTTGCCCTTAATCTCCCATCTGTCCTTAAGTCCTAGCAATTCTACCTTTACAACAGTTAGTGTCTCTGTTCTTATTCTCCATTCACACAAGCCATTACCTCATTCAAGTTCCCATCACCAATCACCTGGAATATGGCAACAGCCTCCTAATGAGTTTCCCTACTGCCATTCTTTCACCTCCACATCCATCCATCCTTCACACAGTACCCACAATTATATTCCTCAGGCATAGGTCTGACCATTTTACTTCCAGGTTCAAAAGCTTTCAGTGGCTCCCAAATGATCATTACTTCGAAGACAAAGTACAAATTTCTTAGCTGATTATGGCTTTCTATAATTTGGACTCAACCTGCCTTTCTGGCTATACTTCATATTCCAGACCTAAACAAATTCCACAATTCAGACAAACTACACTGCTAGCTGTTCCCCAAAACTAAACATTTCATCTCTCTCCAACATATCTATGCCCAGAATATGGTCTTTCCTCTTCTCTATCTTTCAGTATCCTTATCTTCTATTTAGGTGTAGCTCAGTTGGCACTTGATCTTTGCCAGCTATTACTACTCACTCTTCCTCAAATTTTCCTACTTTGGTCTCATTTCTCTTTTGCCCTCTTCACGGTTTACTTGGTATAATTCCTATCCATATACATGTTACATTCTTATGGTATAACGTCCCAACTAAAATCCCATCTTTTACAGGAAGCTTTTCACAACTCCTCTTAATTCTAATGTCTTCCCTCTGTTAATTATTTCTTGTTTATCCAGTATATAACTTACTTTGTACATATTTGTTTGCATGTTGTCTCCTCCACTGGATTGTAAATTCTTTGAGGGCTGGAACTGTCTTTTGCCTCTTTTTTGTATCCCCAGCACTTTGCACAGTGCCTGATATGTAGTAGACAGTTAATAAATATTTGTGGATTATAGTGTACTATCTTTTCTGATAGGGAATGCTTTTTATTTATTTATTTTTGATGAGGTAATTGGGGTTAAGTGACTTGCCCAGGGTCACACAGCTAGTAAGTATCAGGTGTCTGGTCTGAGGCCACACTTGAACTCAGGTCCTCCTGACTTCAGGCCTGATGCTCTATCCACTTTGCCACCTAGCTGCCCCAGGGAAATGTTCTTTGTCCTTGTTTCCCTAGTACCTAATAGTGCCTAATAGTGGCGCTTAGTAGTCAACAACTCAACAAATATTTATTAAATACCTAATATGTACCAGTGATGTGCCACATGCTGACATGCTAAAAGTCCTAACTATCAAGAAGCTTAGTCTAACGAGGTAGGCGAGACAGGAATAGCTATATATACACAAGGAATATAAATGTGACACATACACACACATATGATAAAATGTAGAGAATCTCAGAAAAAATTAGATTAAGGAGGACTGGGAAAGGCTTCCTGCTAAAAGGTAGGAGGCAGGGATAAGGAGGGAGAAATTTTTAGGCACGGGGGACAGTCAGTGAAGATGTAGGGAATAGAGATATGCAGTGTCTTATCCAAGGAATAGCAAGAAGGCCAGTGTTACTGGATGGAAAAGCAAATGGAGGGGAATAAGGATAAGAAGACTGAAAAGGAAGGAAGAGGCCAGAGTATGAAGGGCTTTAAAAGCCAAAGAGTAGATTTCATATTTGATCATAAAGTAATAGGGAGCCACTGGAGTTTACTGAATAGGGAGATGACATGGTCAGACCTATCATTAAGGAAGATCATTTTGACAGCTGACTAAAGGATGAACTGGAGTGGGAAGAGTCTTGAAGCACAGACACCAACCAAAGGACTGTTGTAATAGTTCAGGCAGGTGGTTGTATCAGAGGAAAAAGGGGGTAAAATCGGTAAGAGAAATTATAAAGGTAGAAATGATAGGACTTGACAAATGATTATATATGGGAGGGTAAGAGAAAATGAGGGGTCAAGGATAACATCTAGGTTGGGAGCCTGGGAGAGTGAAAGGATGGTGCCCTCAACAGTAATATGGAAGTCTGAAAGGGGGAAGGTTGTGGGGGAAAAGATAATGAATTCAGTTTTGGATACATTGAATTTAAGATATCTATGGGACATCTGGTTCAGGATGTCCAATAGACAGTTGGGTGATGCAAAACTGTAGGTGGTCAGGAGAGAGGTTAAGGGTACATAAACAGATCTGAGAGTTATCTGAACAGAGATAACTGAATCCATGGGAGGCGGAAGAGGGCCAGGACAGAGTGGTAGGGGGTACTCACAGTGAGTGGGCATAGCCTGGATGACTATCCAGCAAAGAAGAATGAGAAAGCATGGTATGACATGTAACATTGGAAGTCACGCTTCCTCACCCTTAATCCCCTATATCTAATCAGTCCCTAAGTCCTAGCAATTTTATTTTCACAACATCTGTCCTTTTCTCTCCACTCACATAGCCATCATCCCATTTGGGGATTTTGAATCAATAATTCAGTGGGCTAAGGAGGGGTAGGGTGGGTTGCCATACCTGGAGGTCAACCAATAAGCTTTCTTAATAAATTTTAAGACAATTAAGGGATTAATATAGAGCCTAGAGCAGAAGCATGATGGTGATTATAGGTGAATTCCACACAGCGGGACACAGAATTCTCTGCTTCTCCAAACAGTGACCTTGCTGGTCTGCTAGGCATGGCTCTTCCCACCAAAGTTTGATGTACTAGTGATAATAACTGGGATTTACTTAGTAATTTACATTCATTATTTCATTAAGACCTCTACAACAACCCTGTGTAATGTTATAGCAGGAGTACCAGGACAAAGCACTGTCATGAAAACCTCGAAAAGAGAGTATCAAGGAGATGAGGGTGATCAGCAGTGTCAAAGGTGCAGACAGGTCAAGAAGGAAGAGATTTAAGAACATTAGTAAATGTCAGTTGAATCAAATTAAAGTTAGTAAATGTTAACTTATTCAAAACACAAAATTATTCATGTCGATGGATTTAAATTTTTATTTTATTATGTTCTCAAATATAGTTAAAAATCAAAGTTACAGAATAGAGTCAAATAATTATTAGAGGTGGAAGGAGCATTAAAGAAAACCTGATCCAACCTCTCACTGACAAGGATTTTCCCAAGGCTAAAGAACGAAAACAAGGACCCAAGTCTTGTGACTCTTAGTCTGGAGTTCTTTGTACATCAAAAGACAGTGACTAGCTGATCAGCAAGCACATTTAATCAAATTTAAGATAAAATTGTTCAGGTACTGAGCTAGGCACCACACAAAGGACAGAGGAGGGGAATATAAAAAGACAGTCCCTTTTCTCAATTAGACTAGCTCTCAATTAGCCTCTTAAAAACACAAACTTACCTCTTTCATAAATTGCTCAAACTCTTCATCTAGTTTTTCCTTTGAATATTGATGAGCCATAATCAGCAGATAGTTTTCAACTCCCAAAGCAAATATTCACAAATTATTTACACAAATGGAAACACTAAATGAAAAAAGACAAACAGCTTTTGAGGCATTTTATACTTCTGAAAGCACACAATGACAAATTTTGTCATTAACATATTTACAAAGTGACTAAAGACAAAAAATTCAATGCCATTCTTTTACAAATTTACCATATATTCAAATACTGACCATTCAATGCAATTCAAACAGCAATCAATACAGAATTTTCAGTTATCTGAGCTAACTGTTTAGGAAATAGTTTCCAAGAGTTTATTTCTTATACTCTCTGTAGCTTTTACTTCATTATCCAGAATGTATTTCACATATGAAACACTTAATATTTAAACAGCAGTCTTTAAAATATTTCCTCAATTTATACACATAAGCAGTGGGGAGGAAAAAAAAAACAAACTGGAAAAGGCAAATTAATAAAGCCTCCCTTAAATATGCAAAGATCTTTTTTTTAAGAGCTATAAATTATATAGACACAAGGTCCTTTTACTAATGTATATAAGAAACACCTTTAAGTTACTACATCTTTCCTAAACTTTTTAAGACACAGCAAGGCTTCACTTGACAGGTTGATAAGATATTGGGAAGCATCAAAATACAGATATATAAAATTTATTACTAAGTCCCTCTATATACACTTCTTCTCATTCATTCAAATCTTTATTTTGAGACTTACTATGTTCAAAGCATAGCAGCACACATTGGTGGCAAAAATACAAAACTATCTTACACAGAGATAGTAAGTATATACATATAATCAAATAAAATAATATTATACATAGTAATAATATTCTAACCTTTTTAAAATTACATAATGATAGCTAACAGTGGGTCTGTTGCTTTTATTCTTCTTCAGGTCAATTAATCACTCACTATTATATAAATAATTGAAGAAATCTAGTAACACCTAGATACCTAAGACCTACAGAGGAATCATCCGCGATGACTTGCTCTTATTTCCTATCCTATACCTGGACTTCAAAGACTTAGAAGCCCTTCCAGCCTCTAGATTCAAAAGGTGCCCAACTGGGTATTCAGGACAGGAAAGGAGGGAACAGCTCTAACCTTTATTAAGTTCAGGAAGAAGACACCTCAGCAAAGCAATCCAATAAACTACTACTGATCACCTTCTAGGGATTTTATACACACATGCACTCAAAACACAGAGTTCAACATACATACTTTCAGTTGTTTATTCTTGACAAGCTTCACATGTGTCATTCTCCTACACACTGGATCTTATGCAGTATTTTGCACGCGCACACACACACACAGTTACCTATATGCACTCAGTCTCACACTCACATGCCCTCTCATACACACATTGCATCTCATGTACTCCTCTCATACACGCACAACTGTTACCTACACACATTGTTGCACACTCATATGCTCTCCTACACACACTGGATCTCACTTTCTCTTTCACACACACACACACACACACACACACTCACTCACTCACTCACTCACTCTTAGGCTCTTGTCCTCCAGGCCGCGGGACAAGGGACCCGGCGGCTCCTCAGCATGGAGGGGGGCAGCCTCACATCCACGGCCCACTCTGCTCGCTGCTGTCCGGCCTGCTTAGGGACTCGCCCGGCGGTTTCCTGGAAGCGGGAGGAGGGAGCGGGCGGACGAAGAGCCAGGTTCTAAGACCACAGCCTGAGGCGCAGCCCAGGGCAAGGGAACGGAACGCCAGCGGCTCCAGACACCTAGGGCCTTGGAAAAGGGCAGGGTTAGGCTCGCAGACCGCGGAGGACAAAGAAGTCCCCGACGCCTCCCGGCAGCTCCAGGAGCCACTCAAAACCGGTAGCCAACAGTTACTAAGGGAACCGACCGGCGCCACGAAACTCCTGGAGATCAGCTGACCAAACACTAGGTTATAGTCAGGTGACGCACCAGCCAACTACCACCCCTCACCCCCTGCGCGCGCTTGTAATGGGCTGGTTCACAGACACCGAGGAGGAGAAGGTGACCTTTGAACCCAAGTGGAGTCCAGCCTCCTAGTAGAAGGGCTCGAGAAACTTTGAATCAATAACTCAGTGGGCTGTGGAGGGGTAGGGTGGGTTCCGGCACCCGCGGGTCAACCAATAAGGCTTTTTAATAAATTGGGAGACAGTTAAGGGGTTAATATAGAATCTGCGACAGAGGCATGATGGTCTTTATGGGCGAATCCCACTGCCTCATGGGATATGTAGTTCTCAGCCTCTCCAAACCGAGAGCATACACAAGTCTCCTGGACATGAATCTTCCCACCAAAGTTTGATGTGCTAGTGATAGTAACTGGGATTTACTTAGCATTTCACATTATTTCATCTGGCCCCCTAAAACAATCCTGTGAAGCAGATACTACAGATTTAAGCCTGTAGATCTTATTGGTAAAGGCCATTCAATAGTCCACATGCATTTATAAAACACTTACTCACTATATGCCAAGCACTGTGCTTAGTGCTAGAAATACAGAGGAAAACAAAAACAATACTTGTACTCAAGGAGTCTGATAGGGAGACAACATCAAACAACTATATTACAAAATCTAGGTGTATATAAACATGTGTGTGCATGTATGTACTTGTATGTATATATTCACATGTGTTAATACATATTGGTAGGTGTAGTCCTGTATATCAAATATAACATGTATATTAAATATGTGTGTGAGAGATGCCTATATAGATACATTTTAATATATACATTATGTTTACTGTATAACACTATAGAAATATACATAGATACATGCTTGAATGTATACATACATGAACATGTATACATATATGCATATATGTGTATAAATGCATGTACATGCACATATCCATTATACATATATATATATGTATCCATATCCATATCCATCTCTCAGTTTCTCTGTCTGGTACTGGGGAAGGCCTTTTACAGACATTGGTATTTGACCAGACTCTTTAAGGAAGCAGAAATGTGAAGTTGAGAGGGGAAAACAATCCAGACATGGGATACAGGCAGTGTAAATTCAAGGAGAATGAAAACTGAGTGTCAAGGTTGAGGAACAGCAAGATAGCCAATGTCATTAGATCTTAGAATAAATGAAAGAAAATGATGAAGGGAATTAAAGTGTAGGAAGACTGGAAAATCACAGAAGTTTGTGAAGGACTTTAAAAGCCAAACAGAGGATTTGATTCTGGTAGTAATGGGGAACCACTCGAGTTTATTGGAGAGTGTGTGGCAGTCAGGCCTCTTCCAGAAGACAGTGATATACAATGTCAAATGCTACAGAGAAGTCAAAAAGAATGAGCATTGAGAAAAGGCTATTAGATTTGGCAATTAAAAAATCATTTATAACTTTGGATATAGTAAACCATACACAAATAAATTTATTAACATTTATCACATATTATGTTACATTTATTATTTACATTTACTAAATGTGGATTATGCGTCAGGCAATGTGCTAAGCAATGGGGATACAAATAAGAAAAAGACAGTTACTGCCCTAAAGGAGCTTACAATCTAATGGGGCAAGACAATACACAAAAGAAAACTGTAAAGGGGGGGCAATGCCCAGAGAGTACCTGGCACTGCGCCGTAATGATGGTGTTAGAGTTTAAACCAAACAGAGCAGCTAGTGTCAATTGAAGACAACAGTCTCATTTGAATGATGATATTTGAATCCAAACTGCAAAAGAGAGGAGAGATATGAGAGAGCTGGCAAGATAGTCTGAAATATAATTGAAAAGAGACTTAGATTAAATTATTTGTTCGTGATAATATGTTAAGTGCCAGGGACTGGATTTGAATTGCAGGTTTTTCAGAAAGCAAGTCCAGTCATCTCTCCACCAGGCTATACGATATCAGAGTTTAAAGGAGCTTTGCAGTTTAGCTAATCTAACCCCATAATTTTGTAGACAAGGAAACAAAGACCCAAGTTCTGCACTGACTTATCATCTAGATATTGACAAAGCTACGTCTGCTGACTCCTAGTTCAGTGTTCTGTCCAATACAGAAAGAAAATGACTTTTCAATTCAATTAAACACGTGTATTAAACACATAGTATGTGTGAGGCAATGGAAAAAGATCTAGCTGCAGAGTCAGGAAACCTTGAGTCCAGCCTTTGTTAGTACTGGCTTTGTGACCTTCAGTAAATCAGTGCGATTATCAGTCAGTAATCAGATTATTAAGTGCCTACTATGTATCAGGCAATGTTCTAATAGCTAGGGATAGAAATACAAAAACAAACCCAGCTGTTGCCTATTATCTAAATTATCTTAATCTGGGGCCCACTGAATATGTGGCTAGATTTCAGCAGGAGCTTTGAACTGGCATGGGGAAAAAATACACATTTTTATTTTCCCTAACCTCTAACTGAAATTTAGCATTTCCTTCAGTTATGAATGTAGGCAATAAACCACAGTAATATTAGTAGTATCTGGTAACTGCCAAAGGAATCCCTTACACACACAAAAAAGATTAAGAACCCCTACTCTTAATTCTAAATCACAGAACAGTTGTCAATCTACATTGGTAATGGGAGTTTCTTCATAATAAGCTCATTACACAGATGAAATCATAGGTCCACTATGCAAGCCACCACTCTACCCAAAACATATATACACACATGTATGTATATACAGGCACATATATAGATTATATGTGTGTATAGACATGAATACATAAATAATATATTCAAGGCACTGTGCTAGGTCTTCATTCAACTAGCATGTCTGTGTGCCTACAATGTGCACATAATAAAAGTGATGAAGAGACAAAAAAGAAATGGCCACTGTCGTCAAGGAGCTTACATTTTCCTGGTGAGAGAGTAGTAGAGATAGAATATATACAAGGACCAAGTCATTTAATCTCACTGGAACATTCCCCCCTCATTTGTGAAAACATTGCTTTGATATCTCTTTCTTGAAGAGATCTCTTGTCTTTCCCATTCTATTGTTTTCTTCTATTTCTTTGCATTGCTCATTTAAGAAAACCTTTTTATCTCTCCTTGCTATTCTCTTGAATTCTGCATTTAGTTGGGTATATCTTTCCTTTTCTTCTTTACCTTTTGCTTTCCTTCTTTCCACAGCTATTTGTAAAGCCTAATCAGGTAGCCATTTTGCTTTCTTGTTCTTCTTTTTCTTTGGGATGTTTTTTGTTCATGCTTCTTGTACAATATTGCGAACATCTGTCCATAGTTCTTCAAGCACTCCGATCTACCAGATTTAATTCCTTAAATCTATTTCCACATCATACTCATAAGGGATATTATTTAGGTCAGATCTATATAGTCTGTTGGTTTTCCCTACTTTCTTCAAGTCTGAATTTTGCATTAAGAAGCTCATAATCTGAGCCATGGTCTGCACCAGGTCTTGTTCTCACTGACTGTATAGAGCTTTTCCATCTTTGCCTGCAAAGTATATAATCAATCTGGTTTTAATGTTGACCTTCTGGTGATGTCCAAATGTAGAGCTGCCTTTTGGACTGTTAAAAAAGAGTGTTTGCTATGATCAGTTATCTTGACAAAACTCTCTTAGTCTCTGCCCTGCTTCATTTTATACTCTAGGACCAAACTTGCCCATTAATCCAATTATCTTTTGATTTCCTGCTTTAGCATTATACTCCCCTATGATGAATGTGATTTTTTTTGGTGTTATTTCTAGAAGATATTGTAGGACTTCATAGAACTGATCAACTTTAGCCTATTTGGTTTCAGTGGTTGGAGCATAGACTTGTATTACTGTGATGTGGAATAGTTTGCCTTGGATTCAAACAGATATCATTCTATAGTTTTTGAGATTATACCCCAGTACTGCTTTTCTCACCCTTCTATTGACTATGAGAACTACTGCATTTCTTCTAAGGGATTCTTGCCCACAGTAATATACGTAATGATTGCCTGAATTAAATTCACCTATTCCTGTTCATTCAAGTTCACTGAAACCCGAGGTGTTCATGTTTAATCTTTTTTTTTTTAAATCTTTCTATCTCCTGTTTCACCACATCCAGCTTACCTTGGTTCATAGATTTTATATTCCAGTTTCCTATGCAATATTGATCTTCTGCAGCATCTGACTTTCCTTTTGTCACCAGACACATCTGCAGCTGACCTTTCTTTTGGCTTCGACTCAGCCACTTCATTCTTTCTGGAGTTACTTGTAGTTGTCCTCCATTTCCTCCACAGTGGTGTGTTAGACACTTTATGACCTGAGGGGCTCATCTTCTGGTGTCATATCTTTTATTATTTTAATACCATCCATGGGATTTTCTTGGTGAAGATACTGAAGTAGTTTGTTCTGTTCTCCAGCAGATCACCTTTTGTCAGAATTCTCCACTATGACCTGTCTGAGTTGGGTAACCCTCTACAGCATAGCTCCTAGTTTCATTGAGCTATTCAAACCCCTCTGCCAGGACAAGGCATTCATTTTGGATTTATATTATCTAAGCAACTTACAAATCCCAATCTCTTTTCAAATCTTTTTTGTGGCTTGGTTTTTAAGATGAAGAATCCTCCTTGAAATAAAGCTTTTCACCTCTAAGAAGTGCTACAGTTGCAGGAATTACTTCCTAAACTCTCAAGTTCATGAATTAGCTGCCTGCCAAAACCTAGAAACATTCTCCCCAGGATGGTTGCTGTTTGGTCACTTGTACTCAAGGAAAGAAACACAAAGCCTGAGGAAGTCAAGGAGTTGAAATTCTGTCTCAGGTTTATCTAGATCATGCATGTACTTGCTACTTTGTGCACAAAGCTTCCATAGATGCTGCTAAGGAAAGGAGGGAGAGAAATCCTCCACCCCTACTCTTATAAAGTCCAAAGGAGAACCAACAGAGTTCTAAGTGACATGCTCAAAAGACAGAAAGTGAGAAGATCAAAGATACTGGATTTTCC